TGAAAATTTTGAAATTTCACATGCGAAATCTTTATAATGTCCAGATAGTTACCAAATGTTTCTTTAAAAAAAACTTTATATTTTATGTTATCTTCACTAAGGAATCTCTGTACGGGTTCGATAGATTTGACTGATCTTGTAGTCACCATAAAAAGTGAGGAAATAGATATAAATTATGCCTTTTTCGTTCTAGAATGACAACAAATTATAAAACGAAAACACAAATGTTTAGACTAAATAGCTTACATATCATAACATTATACATTTATATGTATTTATTATTTTTATTATATTGACCTTTCAGCCGTAATTGGCTAACAATACAGAAGCTACAATGACGCGGCTCACGTGCACTCATGTTACCGTATCAAATAACATAAAATTGGCCTTTGGTCGGTACAAAGTAACTTGTCTTGGCTGTGTTTTAAGTACATTAGCATTTTGTAAAATACAGTTACATTTCCATTATTATACATTCTATACGTATATAGATTATTACTATTTAGAAATAAATAAAACAATTATCTGTTCTAGTTACGACTTTTGTATTCGGTTGCTGCTTGATGTAGGTTGCTAAGCCTTTTAAATATTCGCACGTGGAAGATATGAAACGAAATATATTTTTTATGTTTTATATATCCAGGTGAATAACCAAAAATCATAAATTACTTTATCAATACCATAGAATTCCACTATAATTTAGCAAGTTAGTGACTAAGCTGGATGAAATTTCGAGCAGACTAAAGACACAACCTACTCCTTGAAGTATTGGTTCGAAAGAACATGATGGCATTCTAACACATGAAAATGGCTGAGAAAGTCACTAATCTGAGCTTTCGATTAGTTATTCACAGGCCATATATTGAAGAAATTGTATATAAGGGACCGATTCCAATGATGGAAAGAGGTGAGCGGGGCCACTGTGTTTGATTTATTATATGAGTGACATATCAGCAAATAGAAAAGATATGAGGTTCTTATTTTATATTATAGCTTGTCAATATCGGTAATTTGAGTTCCTAATTCGTATGAAACTATAGACCTAGTATTTTGACATCATAAACATCTAATTTGAACCAGTGCTGCATTGAACATACCACGTGACACACAAAAATCGATGTTTTAATATTTACTTTTAAATTGAGAAATTAAATAATGTATAATAATAAAATATGAATTATAATCTACAGTTTGATACCAAACTTATTGACAAAAATTCATAAAATTGTAGTTCAATAGAATTTTGAATGCGAGTCGACAAACGCGATGAAATGGCCTTTAACCCGTGACCCGTCTGGAGAGGTTAACTAAACAACCTAGCAAGTTTATCTATGTGAAATCTTACGTCACAATCTACTCAATGAAGTTTATGGTTTTGATAGATATACTTGTATTTTAGTTAAATAAAACATATATACAGAAGTATAATCACAATCAATGTGTGTATATTTATAGAAATGCAATACGCATATTGAGTCATAAAGTTTTTTTGTTGCCAATAATATTTTTCATTACCACCGTAGTCTGTTCTAGACTATTCTTTAAGCAATTCTAGTGCACAGTGACAATTTAATACTACTACTAGTATCTGATTGTTACTGTTCGAGGCAGTAATAATCTTGGCTCGGCATAGCCAGGTGGTTAAGGCACTCGATTCAAAATCTGAGGTTCGCGGGTTCGAATCCTCGTATTACCAAACATTCTCACTCTTTCAGCCGTGGATGCATTATAATGTGACGGTCAATCCCACTATTCGTTGGTAAAAGAATAGTCAAAGAGTTGGCGGTAGGTGGTGATGACTAGCTGATTTTTCTCTAGTCTTTCACTGTTAATTTTGGGACGGCTAACGAAGATAGCCCTCCTATAGCTTTGCGCGAAATTCTTTTTAATAAATCATTAACGTTAGTCTTAGAACTTTTTTCATTTGACATGCTATATTATCACTCAGTAGTGTATGTAGAAAATAAAATCTTCTTTAAAAATCACCACTTTATGTCTGTAGTGTAAAATAACTGTGATATACTTTCGAAATGTTTTAACTTGTAATAATGTGTGAAAGTTTTAAACTTTACCATGCGTTCTGTTTCATAAGAGTGTTTTAGTTGTATAAAAAGTTACATAAAAGGTTTAAATTTATAAATAATCATATGTTGATAGTATACTTTTAAAATTTGTCATTTGATAAAATTTAGCTTAACTAAATATTGGTATATAATCTACACAATCTAATACTCGAGCTATTTCGCTGTGATTTATTTCACTCTGTTGTTTAAGGTGACAGATTTGTGTTATTCAATTGATATATGATTAGTTTTATTGTTAATTTTCTTATCTCGATGATGATATTAAGTCTTGTTCGATCACCTTTCACTCATCTTGGAGTAACGATGTGGCAGTTAAACATTTCTTAAAGTGATACGTCAGAAAAATACGTAGATGCAAGAAGTCTTAATATAAAACGATAAAAACCCTACAACCCGAGTGGATCTTTCTTCATCAGAAGTAAACTGGAAATGCCCCCCAATAGCACAGCGGTATGTCTACGGACTTAAATGCTAGAAACCGGATTTCGATGCCCGTGGTAAGTAGAGCACTGACAGCCCATTGTGTAGCTTTGGGCTTAACTACAAACAAACAAACCAACAAACAAATCAACTGGAATTGGTGGTATAACTGAAAGAGTGATATATAAAGGGAGTTGAGTGACGTCATGAAGGTCACCTGGGCTGCCAGGAAATGTTTTTGTATATTTTTCAATATACAGTTGTTAAGTGAGTCTCATTTCCGGTGCAAAATGCCTGGAAATTAGAGCATTGTGTAAAAAAGGTGTTAGAGATGTTTTGCTTCACAAATGGTTAGGAAAAACTATACTTAAATGTTGTTGAAGTAAAATAAAGGTGACACATGGAGAGTGACTGTTAAGCAGATCAATTTATAAACACAGGCATGGAAAATTATCACAAATAGTAAGTGTTAGAAAGATTAAGGGTAAACATTGAGAGTTCACACTACATGAAAAAAAAAAAAAATATTTTCTGACAGAGAACAAACCAACGACCGGAGATCACTGATCCCAGGATCTAGATTTATTCCACTAGGTTGAACAGTGTTTAGATCAGCAATCCAGTAAATTTCTTTTATCTCTCTATCAGCTTTAGTTTAAAATTGATTTCAATGGCGATAAGAGTATTCCTTTTGTTTCCATTGGTGTTGATCAGGTATGCAAACATTTAAACGAATCAATGAAAATTCGCTCTGGATTGATTGGTACCACATTTCTTCTTAGCAGCACCAGAATTGGTATGCCTATACAGTACAAAGTGGCAGACAATACAAACATCAAACACATAAGTCTGAGCCGATTTCTGTCTCACAATCAAACAAAGAGTGATTTGATAGATTATCTTCCACAGGAAACTCTCGACTGCAACAAAGAATCCACTAAATTGTTCATTGTCTCAAGTTCTGGTCATACAAAGTCCAACAAGGATCTTTGTTTTGACGACAATAATCACGAAGAAACTGATACTTTGGTGATATATCTAGCAGTGTCTGCATCACGTTGGAATTCTAATGATGCACAGTTGACCATCTTCTCTCCAGGCACAGATGTTCTCATAATTGCAATAGCCAGTTATGATCGTTTGATCACTAAGACACCTATCTCTATGACATCAGGTGTTATTCAGATAAGAAAGATCTGGACAGCTCTTGGGATCACTAATGCAAAGACATAGCTTTGACTTCATGAATTTACGGGAGCTGATAACAACAACCGGTTTTCTCAAAAAGGCAAGGCCACCTGGTTCAAAATCTACCCCAAAGCAAATAATAACACAATTCGTGCCATAATCACACTTGGTGGACCTTCTGAGGATACAGAGAGTTTAATATCTACTCTAAATGAATTTGTATGTGCAGCATATTGCCCTAACGGTATTGATATAAAAAACATCCCTAAATTACGATGGAATCTCTTCTGTAAGCACATTGCAGAGAGTGTGAAATTACCATCTACTGTGGGAGCACTCACAGAGCACATCAAAAGAGCTCATGTCCAGGCCAGAGTATGGAGTCAGGCAAATGTACCTCAGTAAATGTTCTTAATCACATAGACGTTCTTGTAAATCTAAAGATACACATTGAGGAAATATAGATCACACATACATGGAAAATCTCACACCCGATTATTTCAGTGATGATGACATATAATTATACTTTGTATGAGCTTTGTCATCTGATATACCTCATTTACCTATCACAATATACATATTACGGTATAAGAAATGATATTGTGCTCATAAAGCTAACAAATTGAGTAGATAGTGCTTAGGGCGTTCGACTCACAACCTACGTACGGGTCGCGATTTGTACAACGTATTTACCTTTCTTCTGTATATTCTGTGATAATTGTTTTTTTTTTTTTTGATTTACAATTAATAGATTCACCATCTAGTTTCGGTTTCTCGTTGTTTGTGGCCTCTATATATGTGCCGGTTGCGTGCTTACATAATTATTTCCATTATTGTACATGTGACACATTAGTAAAATTTGGTAAATATTAGGCTTGAATGATATTTATATATGTCACATGACTTGTAAATATCTTGAAGTAACCCTATGTTTTCGTATGATAATGGCATATGTTGAAAATGCGTCAAGTAATTGCTGACAATTAATAATTGTTGGTATGTATTTGTCTTTTGCTGATTCACTTGTAATTATTGTTAGCAAACAACTTTTAACTGACTTTTTGAAATATGTACAGTGTACAAGTTACGAATAATAATTTTCGTTAAAACTCCTGTTTGTAATGGATATTGTAATCTAGAGTAATACCTAACTCTCTGTGCAAGTAAGGCTATGAATATATTTATGATTGTGGATATTTTATACAATCTAATTTGAAGTTCTAATAAAGAAAGACTGAAATAGTTTATGATTTCAGTTTATATACATCCATAAGATTGGAATGGAAATAACTAGATAAAAGGAGCTACCTTTCAAGTCTGCCACTGTTTTGCTTGCTCTACTCAGAATTAATGCCATGGATTCCACATCGCTGATATTTACACGACATTTCCTGTTGATGACATTGCCCCGCAACTCTTCTACTGTTGTTTCTAGTTTCCTAAACATACACACATCGTGTTAGTATATATTGTCACTTATTCATAGAACTCATGTACATCGGTTAGTCTTCTTGTATGTTTTAACAGAGCATCTGAATTTTCCTGTGCCAGAGGACATAAACATTAACTAATTATTCCAAGATAAATTTGTAAACTACTGTTAAAAATTTAATCAGTGATTTTTACTATTTTGTTGGTTCAAGACAGAAATTGCAAAACATTCTCAACTTTCATAGCTGATTGTATTAAAATAAGTACATTGAGAAGGGGCATAACTAAACTGTCATTACGTGAAACGCTAAATCCTAAAAACGAAAGGTTCGAGAGAGGAGGGTGTTGATAGTACTGGATTTTATCGGTTCAACATTATTTTTGTTGTGTAGTGGTTCTTCCATATTCTAGGTAGGTTTTGTTTGGCACTGACTTTTACGGGTTCTAGATAAGTTATGTCTACATACTCAATTCTTAGACACTTTTAAATATTGATACATATTCTTATAGTAGTACCAAGATTAACGAGCACCTCAAACAACGTCACCACGCCATTAAAGTCTCTTTCTTTTTTCTGCTATTTGCAACCACAATAAATCCTGAAATAACGATCACCTCAATATTCCGGATTAATAGCAGTGTCTTTAGTTGGGCACTTTATAAAGAAGGAAATTATCATTGTATGACTGTATGGTATACTGCTAAATTTCAAACATCCCACCAGAAGGATGACCAATATTCAAACACCTGTGACTTTTATTGGATCGGCTCCGAACTGTATACTGTAATAAACGCTTTCACAGATTAAAATTTCTATCTTATTACTCTGGGGAATTCTCGCTGTAAACACTGTAAGATACCTAAACAGATAAATTCCACATCGTGTTCTTGAAGCAGGGGTCAAGTCGGCTTATTTATGTGCGCTTGCTTTGTTGCTCTCGAGAGTCACGGTGTTACGTAAATAGTCTAATGACATAAGCGGTGATTGTTGTTTTATTTTCAGTGGATTTCTTCTACTTCAGTTGTTGACAGTAAATAAACACAGAAAATAAATTTTAAATTTTTAGAGAAGTATTTTGAAACTTTATGACCAATAATAAAGAAAAAAAGCACAACTAATTCACCCCCTGAGACCTCCTGTTGACAACATTCCATGTCATGGCAACGTTGCACTCACGAACACCAGTGTCCTGCATGCATCAAACAAAATGGTGGGGGGGGGGGGGGTTTAAATTCAAATAGTTTGTCTATTGAATATGTAATCCAGCCATAAGTGGCTCATTTTTTATATCAAGGGTACCTTGCTATAGAGTGTCATTTGGATGCAGTAGGAAGGGTGTCCTTAATGTCGAGGTTATACTGTATTCGTTTTTAAGGGTTCTAGGCAGATTGTATTACAGTCTGTCTCTAACAGGTTAATGGTAGAACTTATTACATGTTGGTTCTTACAGGTTTACGATAGTTGTTATTACAAATTGATTCATACAGGTTCAAAGTATAATTTGCAACATAACAGTTCATGTAGCTTCGTTCTTACAGTGCCTATGTAACTTTTTGACTCATACTAGTTATTATGGGTCCCAAGTAGATTTTGTTTCATGGTAGTTCGTATAGACGTTAGATAGTTGTTATTCCAAACTGTTTTTTAAAACTAATCTATACAGGTTCTTACAGTTTCTTACATTAATACTAAAATTTTACAAGTTGCCTTATCAAAGTAGTTAAAGGGTTATTATTTATTATTATTAAGATTAGCATTCTAGACTATAATTTAGAATGAATTAACTCTTTAAGTTAAATCACATAAAAGTATTCATCTAAGCCACAAATGTACGGTAAACTCACGACAAATCATTCTCCAGTCGTGCTACATCTTCATGGTATATTTCTTCGTCTTTTGCTACCCGAATTCTATCACCACATACCTTATTTTCCATTCCATGGGCAGCAATTAACATGTCCTAAATTCAAATGTAAGGTGAAAATCGTTGATGTTATTTTTGCTACTAAATTATTATTCTTTTAAATCATGGAGAGATTCTGCGTGTCTAAGTTTCCATTATTCTATGTATTAAAATTACGAAAAACATTAAATTAGCATACGAACTCAAGTTTATTTTAAATATCTACAGACTTTCGTTTTCTTTTTAATAAATTAAAAATGATGTCAGCGCTATTTTTCTGGCAATTTCATATGACAGAAAAATCATTACAGGTCCATGATTTCTTTCATCTTGTCACACAATAAATGTTAAGTTGGTAGTAAATTAAATGTGCAAGTCTGAGTTTACATTTTAAGTAAAATTTCCGTTCACATGTAAAATAAATACATATTTTAATCTATGACACATTTAAGTACTTTAAACATTCCACGACCTTGATTCTGACACAGGTTTCTCGAACACTTTCACGTGCTGTAACAGCCTGGGCCTGAGCCATTCTCTTAAGATTTCGAACCTCTGTACGTAAATCCTTCGTTTGCTTCTTCAGGTATCGCAGTTGGTTGTACAATTCTGGACTGCCCTGAAGGTCTGAAAATCGATGTTAAACTTATAGTCACTGTTACAGTAAGCACTACAGATGATTCGTATCCTAAGGATTATGTTTTAGTATAAGCCAATATATGCTGTTATTCATCAAGTGCATAAATGTTTTGTTTTGATATATAAGTTGTTTGGGTTTTTTATCTGAAGAAAAGCGACACTAATTTCTTGAAAACTTAATATATATATTCAATCTCAAGTTATAAAGGTCAGGATATTTAACATTTTAGTCTCTGTCATCTATCCTTCAAGAACCTTTGTTACTCAAAGCAGTTACAGTCGAACGCAATAAGTATGAGTGTTTTGTGGAATGTACGCTTTAAAATATTTTTGTGCACATTTTTGAGCACTAGGAAAACTCTAATGTGTCAAGAGAGTTTTTGATGAATGAATTATTGAACTAACAGCTGATTTCCGAACATTTTCACACAAACTTAATTTAATCAGGTATAAACTTTTGCCCTTCAAATAGCCTCATTCTTGATCATGAATGGCAATACTATTTTGCCAATAAATAAATGATGCATAGAAAAATTTAATGAATCCAAATTTATACCAAATATTTCTATTTTTTCAAACTTTTACCTGAAGACATTGTATTTGGAAATTTATCAAAATATTTGACATTTGTGAGACTCTATAAAGTTTATAAATATAATGAAGTTAATGGAATGTGAGAAGCAAGAAAATCAGAAATTACACCTTCCCTAAATCCCCAGAAATTGATAAAACAATCATAAATGTTGTGAAGCAATAAGATAAATTACATAAACTATTTTTAAGTTATTGTACGTACTGCTAGAGACTACTGGAATCTACTAATTCTTAGGTAAATTTATCATTATTTCATTTTGTTGGTTTAATGTTGAACTCTCTGAAACGTGTGCTAAGCAGGGCTCAGTGGTCAGCAAGCTGAGCTATGGATCTGCGTACTCTTTGTTTGTGGCCCGTTACTGCAAAAACACAAAAATTGCGCTCCGCATTTTGGGGACGCAAGTGTGTTATAAGGGTGAATGTGAAATCTCACTACTCGGTCAGATATCAATAGCCAAGAGAGTTGGTAGTGAGAACTTTGACTAGCTTTCATCACTCTAGTTTATCAGTTTGTGGCAGGACAAAAATTCTCACTCTGGGATAAAGACACATAATAGGAAACATGTGAGAAATGTAGCAACGTTTTGTTATAGTAACAAGTAATATTAAGAATAGTTTCAAATATCTTCTTTAGAATATGTAATAAAACTGTATGAAGAGCAGCTGTGGCATCACTTTTTGGATTAAGAAGTAACGGTCTAAAACTTGGAACACAAAATTATTCACTCCTGATAAATCGATCTTTATTGATTCATTCATTTCTTTAGACAAAAACGTTAATATTTCATTCATTTGTTAATCAAGTTGGTTTAAAATTACACTGTGATTTTTACTCAATACGGTATTTTTGTTATTTCATACAGCTGTAAATATCTTGTGACTTTTTCTATTGTATCATATATATATATATATTTAGACAAACATAACTATTTTATTATACGAACAATATAAGAATAATGAACCAAATCGAAAAATACTAGAAATATGTAGGCATTAGTTGAATGTAACTGATTGAATACCGTCGTATAAACATTTTGAGAAGGTTTTCTAACAAGCACACGAGCTTACTCACTCTGTGCTCGGCCCGGCATGGCCAGGTGGTTAGGGCGCTCGACTCGCAGTCTGAGGGTCGCGGGTTCGAATCCCCGTCCCACCAAACATACTCGCTCTTTCAGCCGTGGGGGCGTTATAAGGTGACGGTGAATTCCCCTATTCTTTGGTAAAAGAGTAGCCCAAGAGTTGGCGATTGGTGGTGATGACTAGCTGCCTT